ATTTTTGATTTTGTACATACATCAGGATCAATAGTCATAATGAAGAGAATACCGACCATATCGGAATTTTTCGATGCTCCTTCTCGAGCAAATTTAAGGGACACTTGACGATTTTCACTTGTGGACAAGAAATTATTGAAGGACATAAGTCCTCCTTTGGTTTGTTTCATTTTATCGAAATTTTCAACTGACAAACCTTGTCCACGGAATACTGTAAATGGCGCCGTAGCTTTCGTGCTGGATTGTTGTTGTTCATTATATAATTTTTGGATATGTTGATGTAAATGACGAATAAAAAAACCCATTTTGATTATAATGTCGACGTCCATTAGACGAAGGCCACGATTGAGCATTGAATAAATAAAGTAGGGTGCTGTATACCACCATATTGATGTATGGTCACGATATTTTTTTTCAACCATCCTAATTTCGCCTTCATCAATATCATCTTGAAGACGGCAGTATTCAGCAAGTTCTTTAATTGATTTTGCATCATCGTCTTCAATATCCAAAAGCGTTTCTTTCAATAATTGCGTATACATAAATAATGGATCAACGCCATTAAAACTAATCGAGATCATAGCTCGATCACAATTTTCACGATCGATTTGTAATGCTTCACAAATCGATTCGATTTTTGTATGCACACCCTTTACCTTGGCTATTTTTCTGGCCCATTGTTCATGGACCGCTTGATTGCTACAAAACACATAAATTGATTCCAATTGTGGCAATACTTCAATTTCTGGTACGATTTGCCGACCCAAGGAACCAGATACAATCATAAAAATCTTTTCTTTTTTAATTTCACTAAGGAAATTAATACATTCTTGAGCATCCGTGAATGTTGTGATCGATGCCACAATACGTCGTAGGTGTTGTAGTGATTTCTTGAAATCTTCGTTGGACTCATTGAAATTGACATCAAGCCAAACCAGAAGAAAATTTTGCAGAACCCGACGCGCAGGTCGGGATAGCATGGTATTTCTCTCCGTACTTTCACTTGTTCCACTCTTGCCGACAGTAGCAGCAACAGTAGCACTACCACTTGTCGACGATGGTACTAATAAGGAGCTTTTTGGCTTAATTGATGTGGCTGACGATGACAGCAACGAAGATGAACCACTAGCACTTGGTGTTAATTTTTTTTTGTCCATAGTGATGGTGATGGTATGTGTTGTTCAAGAACGAAAACAAGTGAATAAATATGTAAAAACTTCTTGAAGATAATAAAACAAAGACAAATAGACGTCGTCTCTCTCTCTATATACACTACTTGACAAAAGTATCCCCCCTCCTCCTGGGATCTCAGCCACTACAAGAGCTGTGGCTCTAAAAACTTGGATATATATAGTTCTCGATCAATGTAGGTCAGCGGCGAAACCTGCATCCCTATAGCTTGAGTCAAAAGAACGTTAGGATGCATGGGGTTCAGTTCCATTGTGGACTTCATAACTCCAGAACAACAAAATCTTATGAGCTGGGGGATGCGTCATTTTGTAGCCTTGTATAGTGGTTATCTGTGATAAAAATTTCATCGAAGTTCATTGAGTTATTGTGAAGTTAGATTAATTTTACTGTAAGGATGGGTCTGCTCAAAAACCGTCCGGTCTCACTGTGTGACTTGTAATTCAGTGGGAGTTTGAGAGATCGACTTCAAATTTTCAGAAAAGGCTGCCCCATAGGTCCTTATTGTTCTCTAAAATTTTCAGGGTTATATCATTTACTAGAGAGAAATGGTACTATGTTCAAGTTTCAGATGTTGTCACAGATCTAGCTACTCGAATACTCAAGCAAATGAGCTCATCTTTTAGGCATATGACTAGCATGTAAAGAGGCACAGTTCTATCAAAAAAAAGTTATAAAATTCGTCAGGTATCATGGAAAATAAGACATGAACTTTTATAGTCCATTTTT